AAAAGACAGTTTAAGATAATATTTATTCTAGCATTTGATAATAAATCTCTGTTCTTTTAGTTATTTTTTGTCCTGATCCAGAATAATTTCTGGTCTTCTAACTTTTCTTGAACCCTAACTTATAAGCGGGGGCAAACATCCCACACTTCATTACGTTTTCTAGTGTCATGGGGCCTGAGCACTGGCATTTCGAAGTATGTGTTATTTGTTATAAATGGTTTTCCTTTTGTTCTTGTCTCCCTAGTACAGCTTGGGCATTATATTATGACTTTTTAAAAATGAAGTGTGTGAGAAGGTCTATCATTTATAATTGTCATTTCAGGAGGGCAAAGGAGGTGTTATCAAATGTTTATATATATAAAGAGGGTGTTGGGTCTGATACCTCCCTTCCTGCATATTCAAAGGTCTTTCCCTCCACTCCATCAGCCCCACGCCCAGCCCAGGAGCCGGGCTTGAGGACTCCGCTAGAAACAGATCCTCCAGGCAGGGAAATGGAGCGAGCGTGGGGCGAAAGGGAACAAGTGAGGTGCTGGTGAGGTCCTGCACCTGGTCCTACCCTAGGGTGCATGGCAGCCAAAGGGTGGATGCCCAGGTGGGTTTGGGGATCTGAGAGGAGAGGACATGTACATCCTGCTTCCCACCCGAAGCGCTGGGAGGTCCAGCAGGGCAGAAGGGCTCCTGGGCTGGTGGGCTCTGGCAGACTCATCACACCCTCACGAAGGGCTCCTTGTGCTAGAGAGTGGCACGGCCATGCCCGGAGGTGCAATGGCTGGGATGAAGGGGACCGAGCTGTTTGGTCTTTGATGTCTCCCTGGTCTGATTCTTCTCTGGTTTCTACTTGCTTGGACCGAGTCACTTCGGCTGGTCTAAGATGGCAATTTATTCCCCTCAGATCAGGGTTTCCCAACCTCAGCACAAGTGGTATTTTGGGTCAGATAATTCTTTGTTGTTGGGGGCTATGCTGTGCATTGCAGGATGTTTAGCAGGGTCTCTAGCCTCTATCCATTAGATGCCAGTAGTCCTTCCCTCCCCAGTTGTGACAATCAAAAATGTTTTCAGGGCCAGCCCGTGGCTCACTCGGGAGAGTGCGGTGTTGAGAACACCAAGGCCCCGGGTTCGGATCCCATATAGGGATGGCCGGTTAGCTCACTGGCTGAGCGTGGTGCTGACAACACCAAGTCAAGGGTTAAGATCCCCTTACTGGTCATCTTTTTAAAAAAAAAAAAATGTTTTCAGACATTGTCAAATGTCCCCTTGGGAGACAAAATTACTCTGGATTAGGAATCACTGCCTTAGGTGA